ACCCGGGTGGGGGTGGTGGACGGGGGGGGGAGGAATCAAAATTAATTGTTGTGAGATGTAATTTGCCTCCTCATATTATTCGCAAGGTTGAAACCATTTGTTTTATTGAACACCTTTCTGAATGAAAGTGATGTGCAAACGAATTTGTAACAACTCACGCTGAGTATGATTCACTTTCCGCAGATCGCATATGTGAATACTGAGTGAAATTGTATAATCCAACAATTTCTGCTAGTTGCACTTATCTTTTTCAAATTCAAATATTTTAAAAATTATTCTTGTACAGTTTTTTGATTAGCAAAGCGATTCTACGGATCTGTGTGTTTCACTCTTCAACCCTCTATGGCATAAATTAATTTTGGATCTCAGATTCTAGGGGGCACTAATCTATTTTGTAGCTTGCATAAGAAAAAATATAGTATATACCAACTTTTTTTTTAATTTTGAAGTAAAGGAAATCAACTTTTCAAAGAAAGAAAAAACTAATGAAATTTCGCAAAATCATGGCACAGGGGAAAGATTCAATTTTTAAAACCCCGAAAATATGTCGACACGAATTCGTAACGCTATGCCATAGAGGGTTAATGTAAATAATCATAATAGTAACGCGTAACGCGTAACGCCCTAAGGCCCGAGGCGCTGCGGGGGGTTGCATCTTGAGGCAGCCAGGGGGCGTATCCTATAGTTGTCTATTAAATGATATTAGTGACTTTGGTTCTTTTCGGGACACGATCTTTAAAGTGAGTGTTACTAATTTTGTAGGTATCCTAAAATAATGGTTCACTTGATCCTGTGACTGTCAGACACTGTTATCGATACGTGTTAAATAGACGAATAAGTTTCAGATCATTCCTAAATTTTCACGAACGTGAAAATGGATCGTAATACTTTGACAAGATCGCTATGCAGCCCACAGTGGATTCGCTCAAGGAAGAGTAGGACAAAAGATCTCTCCCCCGCAAGAGTCAACGATTGGTTCAGATTTAAATGAATACCGGAACTCAGAATTTTTCACCAGTCAGTGTCATCTCCTGATACAACAAACTTTAAATGTGATTTTTTTCAAATAGTGGACCTATTGAAATCAAAAGGAACGAAATCCATTGAGATTTTGGCCCTAAGATCCATAAAAGCACATGCATGTCGGGCTACATGTCACAATGAAAATTCCTTTATCAACTCATTTTTTTTTATATTTTTTTGAAGCTAGGGTTAGCTCTTTTTTTCATTCTAAATTGCGTAAAGTAAGTATTCTCTATACTTTTTTTGCACCTCTCATGCGAGACGCATAAAGCCTTCTTCTTTAATTCATTAAGGGTATGGAGAAAGAAAAATAAAATAGAAAACAAGCAAAAGCTGAGTTGCGCATTTTTCTTTATTTCATTAATCCGATTTTAAATCATTGGATACACTGAGGTTGACGAGAAATAAAACATCAAAATTCAAAAAGAAAAATTAAATGGGCACCGTAATGAATAATTAATATAATATCACATTACTAAATTCTAACTTTGATCTATTCAGTATTTACTTATATGTTTCACATGTTTTTCAAAGGCATTTCATCAGATAGAGATTCCTCCGAAATAAAATTTAAAAGAAGGTTATGTACAAATTCGGCTCTAACGAGGCTGCAAACACTTTAGCTTTCCTGTTTCAGTGAAAACAATAGAACTGAACAGAACTTGCCGAACCATGTGAGGAAGAGAAAGTAGCAAAAAAGATTTCATGGAGGACTGCATAGCAAAAAATCAGAGGGATTTTCCCCGTAAATACATGAAACACAGAAGTTACTTCATTTAAATATAATTCTATAGTGATTTGGCGATCTCGTTTGATGGATGGTTTCGAGAAAGAAAATACGCAAATAAATTCGCATGATTGTTTAAATGTGTGTTAATTTTGTTAAAATTGACAGGATCCGCAGCAGTTCAAGACGACACAGTTTACAACCCAATAAAAATGCGGAGAAAAGAGGGGGTCAAAGGGGATATGCTGAATTCAAAATAACCCCCAAAAAGGTATTTCATTTGTTGCTGTAATATTATTTTCAATTTTTAAACCCTTAATTTTCAGAAATCTTTGACGTGAGACTCTTCACCCATTTACATATTCCTTGCTACGCACAGAGGGCGCTGGTTGTTGTAATCGTCCAAATGTAATACTTTAATTGCAAGAGCAATGAGCATGTTTCTCCAAACGCTACGAATCAGCGGGGGCCTAGGCCACCCTCCTTTTATTCCTTTCTTTTTCCGTCATATTCGCTCAAAGGGCAAAAAAATAAAACCAATTGAACGGACCTACATGAGGGGTTTCTTGCGCTGTGAAAAATGGAGCGAAAAAAACATAAGTTAGAAAACAAAAGAAAATGCACTTTTGCATAATTGAGGAGGGTTTTACAACACAGTGTGCGGTCCGTAGTGAAACATTTATTCAACCCTCACATTCCAGAAATGACATGTTTCACTGAATAACGCAATGGCGATCTCTCGAAGTTTCGATGAAAGACAAATATCCACGGTCGTAAGCGTCTAGTAAAAAGATGGATTGAGATTCGCAGAGGGCAAACTATTCGGCTTACAATCTTGGACACGTTGAGACTAATCGATAACCTCAAACCGGGTTAACGATTAGCGAACTGCATAAGCTTAACGGGAGAGGAAGAGTGGATATTTTTTATCGATTAAATCTCGATTGAATTTCGATATGAAAATGATGTTTCTGCTCAAAGACGACATTTTACTGGGCGCGCACAAATGTGCATCGGCGGTTGAATAAAAAGGCATACCGACATTGACGCGGCTCGGCCGACAGATCAAAATTAAATGAACGATAAAAGAAAGAAATAAAAGCATAGGTCTGGATAATTATTCACATGGAATAATTTCACAACTGCATGTATTTTACCTTCAAGTATATGAATAACCCGAGCAACATATCATGATGTGCTCAGAGCCCTGCCCGTAGAATAAATAGAGATTAGTTTTTGCGGTCGTCAAACATGTTTTTATGGATTTTATCGAGACGAGACATTAGTCATACAACATGTACGTTATAAAATTGTAAGAAATTTTTAATATTTAATGAAAATCACGTGTTCGAATATTTTAAAACCACATTATTTTGAAACAAATCTGAAATGTGATTGAATGAGTAGAACATGGGTAGCTGGGTTTAGTTGAATGGAATATGCCGTGGCCCACAACTGATACCGACATAGGGATTTTTAGCAATACCCATTGAGTTTTTTTCGCAACCTACGGAACACCTAATTGCCAAGTGGATTTGTGCGTTATTTTTCTTTACAGAACTAATTTACTAATTTACTAATTCTTTTGGCACGTAAAACAATTTTGGAAGGAGACTACTTGTCACAAATGAATGACTAAAATCCTCTTTCCTCAAAAGTCGAAGTGATAAGTATACCATGGCATGCTTCTGATGTTTCAATGTATGGTATACAGCGAATCCGTAATTTTTTACATTTGCTGTTTTTTCGGGACCATTTTTTCAGAAAAGTCCGTATAGGAAAATCTCCATCCATCAAGATCCTTCTTTACATCTTGTAATTTCTCCGTTTTGAATGAGTCTATTGTTTACATGAGGTATTTTTCTCCGGACGGTCTTGTTTTTTACGAAAACTTAAAAATACAACTTCCATGGAAAATTGAAGAGTGGCTAGTGTGGCTACTCCTCAGAGATTCCCGTATAGAGTTTGAACTTACTGTTACAATTTGGAGAACCGGGTCTTGATATTACACCAGATGTCACAAATCGCTGTTTTGTAAGTATTATTGCACTTAAGAAAGAAGAGTATTCTAGACAGTTTCCAGAAACAACAAAAAAAGGCTGAGACGTCTTTAAAAAAAGAGAAAAAAGAGTGATGCAATTACGTAAATTAGGTGTTTACGTTTAACAAAACAAAAGGTAAAAGTTGAGAAAATTAAAATAAAAGACATCTTAAATTATAATTAAGTACATATGCACAACCATAAGTTTTTACACTGCCTGGTTAAAACTGAAAAAGAAATACGGGATGCGGAGGATGAACTTGAAGACAAAAAGGAGAATAGCTTCATATTTACAAATTAAGGAGAATGGAACGAAACACATAGGGAAAACTTTGATCGTTTTTGAAAATGTAAAGGTTACAGATTTCTTTATCTTAATACGTAGACGAACGAAGTATGCAGTCGACTATTAAATTGGGAAAAGGAACAAAAATATTCTGTTTTAACACAAAGAAACGATATAAATCAACAGATGAAAAAAATAACAACAAAAGAATTTCAGCTATCCGCCAATCAGGAAAGAAAATTTTACTCTTCCTTCTATTCAGAATAATTCACTGTGTCAATTTTTCACCAAAAAACAATGAATACTTTATTTATATTTTGTGCACTGGAAACTAAATATATACTCTTATGTCTTACATTCACTGAAACTTTATGGTTTGATATTAGATTGGAAATTAATCGACGTAAAAACACGATGTAAAAAGAGTGTGAATAAAAGATTACTCCTGATAGCTTACTTGAGATGTGTGATATGCTTAACATGCGACAAATAGAAGTTCATCACATTGTATTGCGACTTTAGATAAAATAAAAGAAAATAAAAAAAATTACAAAATTTTCCTTCAGTTCTTTTTCCTTTTTCTCGGGTTCTTTCTTGGCATTCTATAACTGCACACAAATAATCGTGAAGGAAGCAACTAACGCGAGGAGACAAAGACGATTGATTAGTTGAAAAGGAATTTTAGTGGGNGGGGGGAACAATCGGATGTCTCAAAGACTTGCAAGTACATCATACTTTATCTTGGTTCATGAATCCTCGCAAGAATCGAAAACCGCCTCACTTTGGCTCCATTAAAGAAATCAGTCAATATTGCAGAACAACAGGAAAGTTTTATCAACTTTTGACTAGCATGTTAAGTACTTAAACAAATTTATACAATGAAAAAATTTTTAAAACTAACATTGTTTAATACAAATATTCTCTTTTCATCACTTTAGGAATGAAATAGTCAACAACTTATTCAGAATGACTGAATACCACCGAAGCAAAGAATCACTAGATATTGAAACATTTTTTTTGCAATCGATCTATTGATTTTTCACTTAAATGTAAACAACCGTTATTCGGTTTATTATCAAAACCAGGTTCCGAAATTTGGAATTCTCAACCTGAAACAAACAAAATAAAAAGAACAATTTAGAAAAATTGCAAAAACACATTCACAACAATTTTGTGAATGAAATAGAGACGGATGAAATAGATGAAATAGAGACGGATGAAATAGAGAAGGAGTTAATATTTGTGACATACATGCAAAAAGAAGAAGAAAACAAATCTCCTAGAAAAGACATAATCGCAACTTGTAAAAAAAAATCGTTGCTATAAAAGTAGCCTTTATTCCTAACATTTAAGGCCGGAAATATCAGTCTGCGTTCAATTTATCTTTTCTGTAAATTTCAGGTTTGAATAATACCCTTTAATCCACTAATTGATACGGGGGCCTTAAAACGTCAAGCTATACAAATTGTTAACTAACTTTTTTTAAAAAGTTTCAGAAAATACCCCACTTGAATTTCTCGAATTTCTTAAGTTCAGTTTAGAGAGAATTGCGACCATAAATATGAATCTTTATCGAACCCCTTTTGTCTCCTTGTTTCTATACAATAGAGCTTTTATCATTTTTCTATCGTGGCTAAAAGTTCTAGAAGCCTGAAAGTTCCATCCGAACCGGAACAGACAAATTTAAGCTTTGATGGCAAAAATTATAAGAACTTTTCCTGGATTGAAATCCCGCAACGCCACTGACAACAGTTGCCAGGTAGATGATTTAAAAACCGGATCTGAATCGTCTACAGAATTATTTAGTAATTCGGTACCTAATCCTTGTTGCTTCTAAACTTACTTCTTTCTCCCTTAATAACAACCGCACGGACTCTTTGCCTCTTGAAACAGCTACTTCCGTTTCGCATTTGACACGGCTTACATTAAGCGTATAAACCACAGCGCATTTTTTAGGTAGAATCAGGCAACGCACTCCCGGCGATGAAGTTTAATATCGGAAAGTTTGGTGCGAGTGGGGGGCGTGCTGCACGAAGTTTCAATCGCTGAAAACTTGCGGAGGAGTTGCCAACTTAAGAGCTGAATTTACGAGCCACTGTACAAAAATTTCGCGTTTAAAAGAAGCATGCGGCAACAACGCAGGTAAAAAGCTCATGTTTTCTCTCGGATGTCATCGGCTTGGTTCGTGTCTTCATGTCACTTCGTTGAATCGGCGCTATTCGGTGCCCCCTTTCTGTAAGCGAAACTTAACATCTAAAAAAGTCAGCCACGGAAATCGGACGAAATTATCCAAGACTTTCAACTCGACCATAATCGCTGTATTGAAAAAGCTTCCGCAGAGACGGTCTCTTTCCCATGGAGAATCACAAGTGGACAGAGTTCGTCGGAAAGGAACCAACCTGCATTGGGTTGAAACTGAGAAAAAGAGGTCTGAAGTTTTATTAGTCTGCTTATAAGGCAGTAAGACTTAATAAAAAAAATAAACTTTAACCACTCTTTTTTAAAATTTCAGTTTTTTTGCACACTGGACAAAAAACACATTGGATCTAGAGTCCAGACGCTTAAAAACATCGACAAGAAAAAGCACTCTTGATTCAATTAGAATCTAGCTTGAATCAAGAACCAAGCCTCTGAATTTAAGCGGATTTCGTTTTGATTCAAGCAAAAATCCGATTGAATCAAGAGTATTTTTCCTTGTCAATGTTTTCAAGAGTCTGGACTCTAAATCCAATGTGTTTTTTTTCCAGTGCAGGAGAAAGTATACGCTTAGTGAAACTCAAAAACGTTCTTAACTCAATTTTTTCGAAAAAGTACGTTTGTTCCTTTCTGATAAACTCGGTCCTTTCGCCTAACAGCAAGGCATCCAGAATATTCATCAGGTTCTGGGATCGGAGGCATATCCACAGCTCTCCAAGCCGAGAAAATGGTGCGAGGCTCGTAATTCCAGGAACCGCCCCTGACATCCCCTCTTCTGAGAGCTCCGGCTCAAAATCCAGGATGGTTGTGTGAATTTCCCGAAGTGCCAACGCGGGAGCAGGCCCGATTTCCACCCTTACGAGGCCCAACGAAGATTGATTCGTTCTCGGGGAGCGAGCGCGGAGGAGGGTGGCGAAGGGGTTGCCGTGGAGGGGGTAGTCACGGGGACGCCCTCGCGGTACTTTTTAATAGGCAACGCATTCCTTCCACCATATCTCATTCCACTAGTTTAATAACTCCGCAACCCCGGCTCAGGAGGGGCGGGGGGCTACGGGGTAGGACATAATTCAATTACTTTTTCTTCATCATCCCTCCACTCGAGCGAGCCGTTTTATTAACGGGATTCTGCCTCTTAAACCCCGTCGCCCCTCCGCCGCGACCCCACCACTCCTACCCCCTTTCCGGAGTATTTAATATCGACTCCCCGGTTGGGAACGCAACTCCCGTGCCCTGGCTCAAATTAACTCCGCTTTTCGTGCACTTGTGCATTTTTTTTTTTTTTTTTTTGAGGGGGGGGGGTAATTCTTCATTCACTCTCCGAGTGACGTAGACGAGATGCCCTCATTTTACTTGAGGGGCGCTGAGGAAAAACATATTGTGATAATTTCGGCATGAAACGCGAGGATGGTTTTCTCTTGTATACGTGCATCCTCGGGTTTGGGGGCCTCTACCAAAAAGTGTACACATTGAGCCGGAACTCAATATTCATTTGAATCAGTGAGTTCGAAAACACACCAACTCGGGTTTTTTTCGATTTTCACTTTTCTACGGTTTAGTATAACACTTATAGATAGAAGCGTCTGCACGCAAAGGGAAATTTTGAAATTGCAATCGGAAGTGCTCGAAACAGCGACAGAAAAAGGGAGTCGAAGTATTTTTCATTGGAAATACCAATTTTTGGCCATTTCAAGGGAAACGGGTGACCATCCGATTTTGCGGTTTTCTTTTTTCGGTTCAATATACCTTGTACCAACAAGTTATATAAATATTCAAGCGTTATTCAGATCGAAAAATATAAACTTTTCGGGGCAGACTATGAAAAATCAGTACCTGAAAGTCGGTGAGAACGAAAACACACCAACTCGGAAATTTTTAAATGCTTAATTCTCCGTCATCAAACATGGTGTATCGATTTCAACTTGGTGCATTACAAAGTCTCTAAGTACTTGTCCTTTGACACCAAAAAGGTTTTTCTTAAACTAACTTCTTCGCCCGCTGCGCAGTTTTAGGTGTTTCCTGAACAATTTTTTTTTCCGAGTTAGTGTGTTTTCGAACTTACTGATTCAATTAGTATTGGTATAAATAGAACGTTCATTTTTTGGCAAAGCTTAAATCTTCTGCATATTCAGCATAGTTAAAACCCAAAAAATGGGAAAATAATTTTTTTAAAAAAGCACTTTAAATATCTTAACTGCTATTTGCTTTGTTGTTACTCTAAAGAGCCCTTTTATCAGCAGTTATTTCTGAATGACTTCTGCTTGATTATATATTGATTTTTATTTTTATTATTTTATTACAATTATAAGATATGAATGGCTGAGCCGGAAATGGGCAATCCTGACAACCCACCTTTGCAGGTGAGACTGAAGACTACTGAGAAAATTTTATGGGTGTAGATGTAAAAATATTAGTATTGATTACATTAGTTAAAAATTAATATTGATACACTTCGAAATTGTGTCATCCCACCAATCAGTAAATGAACTCGCGTCTTAAATTTAATTTTAATCAAAAGAAATTGATGGAATTCGACTTCAGATCGCAAAAAGTGATGGGTACAGGGTACACGGTAAAATGAGGAAAAAATTGAAATGTTCGTAATGATATTATAAAATTTAACTATAACTTACTAATATTATTACTACTATTAATTTTAACTATCTAGTAAGAATTATATGGTTAAAAGTTTCAAAACAATGTCCGACTCCCCATCATTTTGAAAAGGGCTGTGCTGTAGTTAATGTTTACACCGTAAAATGTAAAAATTTTGTAGCAAATCATCTGCGTGATTTCAACGATTCATGAATTCAAAGTGACTCAACTCTACGCGGAAACGACATTCCATCCTTCAAATCCCCGAACTTTCCCTATTTTCTTTCACTTTCTTCGTCAGGCAAACTTAAGCAACGGGTCCAAATCATAAACGGGTAGCCCGGACCGCCACTCGGGCTGAAAGTCCGAATTTGACAAAGCTCCAGCCTCGGTATTGTTGATTGCAAGGCTTTGGGAGCGCTCCTGCTGAGTACCGAATACTATTCGCTGAGCAGCGTCCAGTCTCGGGCGAAAGCGCGGGGGAGCGGCAGGGGGGAGGAGGAGGATAGGGGGCAATTATTATTGATCACGTCGCTGTCGCGTCGTCCGGCGGCGGGCGCCGAGCTCGGATTGGTTCCCGCTGACCACTCCTCCTAGCCCGCGTGCCAGTTGCAGAGGTTGCTATGGCGACCGACGCCGCGCCGGCCGCTCTGACGTCACCGAATACGCCCGCTCCCGCCAATTTGCCGTGCACGCGCTACGAAACAAAAGAAGGGTGCCTCAAGTTCCGAAATTTGCCTCTGGTTTAAAAGAAACACAGGAGAGAAAGAAGGCGTGAAAGCAATGGAGGGGAAAAGTTTAAAAGCTCTTTATGTCACTGATCGTATGTTGACCGACCAATTTGCAGTAAAACAACGAAACAAAAGAAGGGTGCTTCAAGTTCTAACATAAAAACAGATTACGATAATATCTAAATGGTGGTGATGTTATCCACAAGATATATGATTGAAAGGTATGTATAGATACTCAAATGTTGACGATCTGTTTCCAGTAATTTTTTATTATTTTTTATTAAATAAAAATAATTAAAAAGTTTGATTTTCAATGACAACACATGTGTTTTACTCCATTATTAAAATTATATTATAAGGTAACAAATTCTATAAAACTTCTAATTGTACAAAAATGAATCAATAATCAGCTTGGATTGGAGAGTCTTCGATTATCGCAAAATATGCCTTTTTTCCAAAAAAGCTTTCGTGTCCGACAAAAGTTCCAGACCACCTATAAACCGCACCGCCATTGCTACAGTCTATACTCAACCCCTCTTAGTATTCCCTTAACCGCTTAAATTCTGCTAAATTCACCTCTTATGTGCAGGCCCGCCACAAGGGGGGGGATACTGGGTCCTTGGTACCGGGGCCCGGGCCCTGGAGGGGCCCGTGACGCAGGTGACAAACCACTACGAATTCATGTGTAACCCTTGGTCTCGTAGGGAAAAGTGAAAAAATTACCCTAAAAATTCCGCAAAAGGTGAATAAAGTTTCAAAAACACGCTAGGGCACTATAAAATTTTTCTTACTTTTTTAGAGATTTTCAAGATTTTGAGTATATGTAGAATGATATTTTTAGTAACTGTGTTTCATTTTCTTCCGTTGTCGGATGCTAAGAGGCTCCTTTCTGGGCATCCTCAACTTCAATGGCTTAACTCCCTTGCCACAGACGTACGAAAGGGGAGTCCAGGGGGGCCCGGCTCCCCATAGAATTGATAATTATCATCTGCCCCCTCAAAAAAAAATTTATAGATGTTTTGAATGCAACAATTCGAAAGTTTTTGGTGCTGAAAGTAAAGAAAAAGGCGTAATAATTCTGCAGAAATTGATGGAAAATCTCCATCATAAGAGCTTCATAATGCGTCTAAATAGATTTAAAATTTCAAAAATTTCCCGGGGGAGGCCCCCCGGACCCCCCCCCCCTGTGCTAGGGGCCCGGGCCAGAAAATTGGTACCAGGGCCCGAGATGGGATGTGGCGGGCCTGCAGTTATGTGTCGAAATGATGATTCACTCACCTAAAATCTGGTTCTGATCAATCAACTGACTAAAATGTTTGAAAACTAGATGGCATCACTCCGTAGACACCGTCTCTCGACCACGAGGTTCCCTGGTCTGCAAAAAGAAAGAGAGAAATATTTGAAATTAAAACTTTTGAAAAATAAAAATGTAGTCGTTTTTCCCATCAAGAAAAAGTAATACCATGGTAGAGCTGTCAAAACCTCAATATTTCTAATTTTTGGGCTTAATATTTATTATGCACAGCAAAAACACAGCTCAAAGATCACAAACGTAAGTGTTCAAATCCGGCTAAAATAAACATCTAATGTAGTAGAAACAAAGTACAAAAAGGCAGCCAAAAACAAAAATAGCATTTGGATGAAAAGAAAAAACAGTGGAAACAATGCTAAAAACGCACAAAATTACGCAGGAAATTTTGCAGGATGGTGATTTCATCACCGCGTGCAAACGTGCTGGATTCATTTGATTTTAATTTCTTTTTTATTTTCATTTTACTTTTTCAGCGGTTGATAATCACTGGTAAAAAAAACCTCTTGGTTCAAGAGTGCAGTTTCTTGTCGCCGGATTTAAGAGTCTGGACTCTTGTTTCAATGCAAAATCCGCTTGAATCAATGCAAAATCCGCTTGAAACAAGAGTTCAAGACTCTTAAATTCGGCGACAAGAAACTGCACTCTTAAGTCAATGCACCGCGGCATTGGTCCAAGAGGTTTTTGTCGCGAGACATCGAAACGTCCTGCATAATTTTGTGTGTTTATAGCCATGTTTCCACCGTTTTTGCTTTCGTCCATCTAATGTAGTTAAACTGATTTTGGTATCTATGCGACAATTAAAATGTCAACTCGTCGATCGATTTCATTTCTGCTGAGGGAAAATCGTGATTGGTGCGAAAAAGAAGAGGGCGTGATTGCTAACCTGCCATAGAAGGGTAGGAGGCATAACTAGGTGTGGCGGCTTCGAGACTATGGTGGGAGGCGGCCTGATCGTGGTGGAGTCGGTGGTGCTGACTCGAGGTCCACGCTTCGACGCCCGGCTTCGTGTGGTACTGGTGAGGCGCCGTCACGTGGGGTGGCAGTCGCGTCGTTGGCGGCAGAATCAGCCCACCGTACTGCGCCATGTTATGGTGGTGATGGTGGTGGTATTCGTGAACAGTCCTGAAACATCATTCGGAACAAATAATAAGTACAAGCGCGGAAACTCATGGAAAAATCGCTCATGTGCTAAGGAAAAACGCCGTATGAGCCTTTAAGCGTTGCCCAATTTTTTTCGATAAAATACGAAATTCCTGGAAAACTTGTGGATATTTTTCTACAATTTTTTTACAGAATTTCAATCACAATTTAATCGTAACGTGATCCTCAATGTCCGTGTCTTATGCACAGATATGTGGAAAATATGATTTAGACCGAAAAGTTGACAGGACTGAAAATTTCGCAGAATAACTTGTACTTATCGCAGGTTCAATTTCTCTTTGCTTGGAAAAACTTGATATGTAATGTATAAAACCTCGAATTTTCGAAACAAGTGCATACGGTTCACTGGAAAAAAAACACATTGGATCTAGAGTAATGACTCTTAAAAACATCGACAAGAAAAAGTACTCTTGATTCAATCAGAATCTAGCTTAAATCAAGAACCATAAGCCTCTTAATTTAAGCGGATTTCGTTTTGATTCAAGCAAAAATCCGATTGAATCAAGAGTATTTTTTCTTGTCAATGTTTTCAAGAACCTGGACTCTAGATCCAATGTGTTTTTTTCCAGTGCTCACTACAAAATTCGCTCGTTCCTTCTCGTTCCTTTCGCCCTAAAAATCTGCTATAAAACGTCGCAACTGGAAATAATTGTATTCGTCCCAACCCGATTTGACATTACGCATTGTGGAGGGGACTACACGTAAACAACAAAGCATACGGCTTTAAGGACGCAAAAATGTCTCTTCACTCATCAAGGACGATGATCAATGTAAGAAAAGTAACTGGAATATGCCAGGAAGGTCCCAGGACAAAGAGGTCGTTGATCAACAAGCAAGTCCTCTCGATGATGTTAAATCAATGTCGATCGGTGATAAGTTAACCTGGAAGGTGATTAGTCGCCTAGTTGACACTGATTGCTGATTGAGGCACTGATTGCGCGTGCCTGATGAACCGTAACTCATTATTCCCTCAATTAAATACGGGACCCAGCCGCTTTGATTGGCTGCGGTGGCTTTTGCGTCATTGGATGACTGTTTCGAGGGAAGGGAGAGTGAGAAACGTCTTCGACCATGATGAGAAAATATCTCGTGTAGATTGATTTATGGCAGGTCATGCTCATGTGGCACTCAAAGTTTCTCGACAATTCTTAAATTAGTTTTCAGCTATTTATTTGTCCCTTAGGTGGAATACAATACCGTATTGAACTGATGCTTCTTCAAGCAAGTATGACTCAAATGAATGGTAGCAGAAGTAAACTTTTAAGGTATTTTTATTTTGCAAAAGCACGTTAATTTATACTAACGAAACACTATGAATAATTCGGATGTGTGCAGCACCCGGAACTTGGTGCTGTTAGCTCAACCTACCGGTGCGCCCTATGTGTTCACCGGTGAGCATGTTTGCGCAATCAAAAGTGGTATACGTGTATACGTCAACCCTGCATCCCTATGGACTGGCCTGCCACATCCCATCTCGGGCCCTGGTACCAGTTTTAAGGTTCGGGCCCCGACTAGAGTTAGGTATACTGGAAAAAACACATTGGATCTAGAGCCCAGACTCTTGAAAACATTAACAAGAAAAAATACTCCTGATTCAATCGGATTTTTGCTTGAATCAAGAATCAAGCCTCTTAATTTGAGCGTATTTTCTTTTGGTTTAAGCAAAAATCTGATTGAATCAAGAGTATTTTTTCTTGTCAATGTTTTCAAGAGTCTGGACTCTAGATCCAATGTGTTTTTTGTTCCAGTGTACATGTGAATTTGAAGTAATGTCTCGAGGGCGGCACGGGCCCCGTACTAGGGACCCAACCCCCCCCCCCCCCCCCCNCCCCCCCCCTTGTAGCGGGCCTGCATGGCTATCTACGCTAGAAATCTGGAGCTCGAGTAACTTGACGCGTTGTGCTTGTGGTCTAAGGCCCAAAATGAAGGCGCTTACAAAAATAAGCGATCGTTTCATACCTCAGTAAAAGTCTCATTAATTCCTCCCTACATTGTCTACATGAAAAAAGGCAGGACATTCATACTCATGAATTTTAAGGCAGTTTCGTTCTGCCGTCGGCGAAAGTATTTTAATCAGGATTGACCTCATTGCGTTCCAATCCCGCGAGGTCCTGCGTCACACTCTTGTGAAACAAGTTAATAACCCTGGAGCGGCTCATCATAATTCGCGCTACTTATCTCGAAATTCAAAAAATCCCGCTACTTTAAACTCCTGGTTTACGTAGCGCTAATGTTCTCCGCTGACCTATCGTCGAGCTAATATTCCTAATAAAAATAAAAAATGAATAAAAATGGAGAAATGCGAGAGAGCGATGCTACTTTTCGGTTTGATTTCACCACCGAGTCGCGAGGATCATAAAAGCAGAGGGAAGAGAAAGCGATGGGATTGTGGAGGAGCGAGAGAGAAGGGCGCGAAGATCGGGGCGGGGGACGAGGGGGCCGGCGGAGGTAGGAGTTATGCCGGACGGCTCATAGCGGCATGGCGGCGTCCTTTGATGAGCGATGGCGATGAGTGTAAATTTGAAAATCGGAGGATGAGGATAGTTCTCGAATTTACGCGGGCTAAATGTCACTTGCCCGGGTAGTGCCCGCGCCACCGGCAAAGACGCCGCGCAGCTTCGCGCGAGAGCGAGACATTTTCCGCGCGGCCTGGCCCTGGCCTAAGGTGAACCACTTCCCGCTAATCATCGCTCCTCCGTTGCCAGCTTACAAGGAACGCCCCGCGCCGCACGGTGGATCGAGCCGATGGGAGGGGTCGGACAAAATTTGGGAACTTTAAAAGCTCATAACTCCGTTATTACAAAATCTTGAGGTCTTGAATAAACGGTTCCATTGGGTTTCTCGTAAAATTTTCACTAAGAATCACCCCTCGAAATTTAAAATTTAACGAAATAATAATCTAAATTTGCATTTTCGGTCAAAAAATTTATGTCCACCCTCCCCTATTGGTTCGGTCCACCGTGCGACGCCGCTCACGCCAACCCTACTCTTGCCCTTAAAATCACTGTCCAATGATAGAGGCGTACGGGCCGAGACCGCAGGGGGCCATCCGTAAATTACGTAAAGCTCTGGGGGCGGATGGGGGGGGCGAGGAGAGCGTTACGCCATTTTGTTTACACGAGTCAAAAGGATCGGAACATACGTTTTAAAAGTGTTACAAGGGAGGGGGGCGTCAAAAATGCCGGAAAAGTGCGTTATGTAATTCAAAGACGGCATACGGCCCTTAAGTATCAGAGGCGTAAAGCAACAACTACTTCGTTGATAGCCCTCCTTAAAATACAGTAGAGTCACGATTATTCGCGATAATTGGGACCGGAGATACCGCGGATAATCGAAAATCGCACATAATCCGAATCTACGCAAGACGGACGGAAAAGGTCATCGAAAAGACTGTATTTTAAAGGAATATAGAAAAAGTAAAAAAAACTCCGCTCCCCAGACCGCGGATAATCCGAATCGCGGATAACCGAGGCGCGGATAACCGAGGCGCGGATAATCGTGACTCAAATGTACATAACGCTCTGTAGGGGCAGGGGCAGGGCCGGATTAAGGAGGTGGCCACATGGGCCGCGGCCCATGGCGGCAAATCTAAGGGGCGGCAAAAATTTGCAACTTTTTAAAGTGTAGGTATAAAAAAAATCGGATTTATAAAAACAAAATTACAAACGAGAAAAGGCGACAAAATCTCTCATTTCCTGAGAGCATAGTAATCTCTAATTTTGTCGCCTTTCAGTGAAACAAGAGACAGCACCTTTAATTAGTCGAGTTAAGAGGGAAACCAAACACGCAATTTGGCCTGGAACAGCGCGACTTAAAGAGGAATGATGGCGAGGTCTTCAGATGGAAAGGAGGAGCCTTCGGCGCGGCGATCGGCATGTAACACATATTAGCGCCTACAAGACTGCACGAATAATTCACGCATTGCATCAAACACAGTGCGGTCATTGCGGTCAGCGTGAAACGGATAGCGCCTACAAGAATGCATGAATACTTCACGCATTGCGCCAAACACAGTGCGGTCAGCGCGAAACGCATAGCGCCTACAAAACTTCGTGAATACTACAATTACTACACGCATTGCGCCAAACACGGTGCGGTCTGCGCGGCGCGGCGCGCAGCGGCGGAAGTTAAAATCATTGATTCACATTTATGCTTGTTCTTTCATAATTGTTTCGTTTATTTCTTATGAATGGAAGGCCTTGTCCACACAGAGATAGGTTTACGGAAATTAACTTTTGCTAGTAGTGTTGACAGGGCTTTCCCAAAAAATGTGTTCAACACGAGTGAATGCGTCTTATGCACCCCTCCCCCGCTGACACGTTCATCTGATGGTTTTTATCGAGTTTCAAAACGAATGAGAAGGGGGCGGCGAAGTACAGGCGAACCATGGGTGGCAAGTAGGTGAATCCGGCCATGGGAGGAGGTCGAGGAATGTGTGCCTATGTTGTTTCTAAAGTGAGCTAGAGATATAGTAGTTCCTCATCACTAAATATGGTCCATTTAGAGGTTACTCTAACTGCAGCAAAAAATTTGAGAACCGTCTTGGCATATCATTGTAGATGTTTTCGCACATATTATATGCACCGCTGGAACTTGTTGTGGATTTAAAACATTTCTGCGACAGCAACCTCTCTCCGCAGAATATTGCGGTATTCGGTGCCATGAATAATTAAGTATTTAATATAACACTGAGAACTAAACTCCACGTCTAAAACACCACTTTCCGGGTGTGAATAGACATATCATCTTATCCGAGTCAAAAGACTGGAAGCTCCAGAAACAGGATTCGCAGCGCTTCACCCATTCCTGGATCAGCTCCCCTCCCCTCCCTCATCAGTGTAATTGCATTTATAGGCACAAACTGGCATCGAAAGTTAGACCATTGAGGTTAAGAGTATTATCACCGTAGAGCCCTTTTACAGAGAGATTTAAGACACATCAAATCCGTTCCTCATTGGCTCATGTGTTTTAATCTTCATGAGACTTCAAACCGTCGCTGCAAGCCGATTGCATTACATTTTCGATGGTTGCAAGAGTATCAAAAAGAACGAACCAGGGAAGGAGGCAGGGAGGAAGTAGAACATCGAGGGGAACATAGAATGAGAAAGGAACAAACAGGGGCCTAGCTCTTAATGGACCTTGGTGAGTCTCATGGTCTCCCCAGTCTGAAATGTGTATCATCTGCGTCCCCCTTTCGGCTCTTTACATAAACTGCATAAAAGACAGTAGCTTCAAAACCGATACATTTCCTCTACTTATTCACTGGTGTGATAGAAAAAAGTAAAACGTTTGGGATATACCTCAAAGATTATTCGTAGGTTGAACCTTAAATTTGCAAATACGGTTTTTCACGAGAGGACTTCCTGAATGTAAGAGAGGGCAATTTAGCAGGCGAGGACCCCCTGCCCCACCGAAATCCCCTTCCAACTTAACTATAAAAAATTCCCCCAAAACCCCGTCGCTTTTCGTGATGTTCTGGAGATTTTAACATGCGGACCCCCTCGATTGAAAAAAAAATTGGGTCACGGCTCTGAGCAAAATGAACATAAAGGAGGTTATATTGAAACCCATAAAAACTACGTTTACTGTGTCCTAACGCGGCCTAAAAATGGATACCCAAACATCCGAGATCACGCTGAGCGGTTATAGGACATTTTGTCAAGGATTTTTTGTCAGCGCACATGTATTTTTCCAGTAGTTTACGTCCACGCGTTTTTCGGCAGGGAAGTTTTTGTCCACGTACCAATTATTATTGAAACTCAAGATGAAATATTCTTGACGGCATACTCAGGAATTTTTCTGCCTAAATCGAGTCACTTTTTTCTCTCATGAAATTTTAAAGTTATGCTAAACTTTATTAAATACGGATGCGAGGACTTGATGAGTTTTAGGACTACCGCTCTCTTTTTGTGCCGTAGCATCTTGATTTATTTTGCGGAGAACGCTGCGTATTCTTAAAGGATGACCGTCATTCTTAATATGTTGGGGAGCCTTCAATTTCGAATGATACCATGCAACACTTCTGTTGTGAAATAGTTGTTTGAGGTGCCATGCCGCGGCACGGCGAGCGGGCGGCCAGCGCGGAACGCGCATCGGCGCCTACAAACCTAAGTAGATACTTCAAACATTGCGCAATGCGTGAAGTATCCCCTTAGGTTTGTAGGTGCCAGTGAGCCTCTCGCGCTGGCTGCACGCCGCTCCGCTCTGTTCGGTTCTAATATTTAAACTCGCAGTCAGCGTTTTTCAACTCATGATTTGGAAATGCTTGCACACTCTGCATTGACTATTCTCATTTAAATTGATGAAAAAGGATATGTATTAAAGGAAAATATGTTGTGTATTCTGTAAATATTAGGTGATTCCGTGTCAAATTTAATGATTTTTAAAGCCCTCTAATTTTTTCTTTCATTTCTTGTGCTTTTACTGTGCTGCAGTGCAACTAAACGCTTGAAATTGTACGTATTAGATTCTAACAGATCGATGTACAAATGGGTTAAAACCAAAGATTGCGTGCTTTTTGGTTTTTCCCCTCTTTTATTCATTTTTGCACAGTTCCTTTCAACACACGACTCATTGAGATTAATATCTAAGGCATCGCTTGAAAATGTTTTACAAATATTTGCTACGTTTTACTAGGATGAATCACAAGAAGAAAGTAACACTTCATTTAAAAAATGAGTTACCATAACAACACCTCCTTCTCTTTCAATTTTCTCATTTCGATATTGTCGATATAATTTTAAAATCGGACTGAAATATAATGCTTGAACCAAGTCACTGTTGCTTATTTTACGCATGGATGTAAACTACTGGACAAAAGAGGTGCGTGGACAAAAAATCGTTGACGGAATGTCCTGAAACCCGCTAAACAGAGGAAAATCCTCGATTATGAAATACATGACTGAAATAATACATAATTTAGAAACGAAAACAATGGTGTAGTGAAATAAACGCACCTATGATGATGAGCCGAGTATTGCTGGTAATGCCAAGGGTCAGCGCTGCTGGCGCCGTGGTACATGGGGTCTCCATACAGATCCCCGTGGTGGGTGCTCATACCCCCTTGGTGATTGCTATTCCAAAACGAAGCAGGGAAGTTTCGCGTTGACATAGGTGAAGATTCTGAAACAGAGGAAAGAGAGCGGAACATTAGTTTTCACATACTTAAATACCTCTTGAGGGGGTATGCAGACAGACGGTCTACAGCAAAAATGTCCACAAGCAGAAAGTCTACACTTTTTGGTCTAAGTTTACAATGTCTAGAACTAAAAAGTCCACTACGAAAATGTCTACAAATGATAATGTCTTCTAAAAAAAAAGTCCAAACTCAGAAAGTTCACTTCTGAATGGAATAGGAAGAGTGAACTCACATCAGTTATACTTCTTCAGTTGTATCTATGGAGAAGAATCATCGTGTATTCATTTTCCTTTTAATAGACGCGTTATATGTAGACATTTACTTTCTTGGGCATTCTAAAAGCAGACTTCTTAATTGTAAACATTTTGACTTTAGACCAAAAAATGCAGACATTTTTTGAGTAGACCTTTTTTGAGTAGACCTACTGTCCGTGATTCCTAGAGGGTGTCGACTGCGTCGGGTGATGGAAGTTGAAAATGACGTTGAAATTAATGTGTTTGACGCCATGCGTGAAGTATTCATGCAGTCTTGTAGGCACTGATGTGTGTTAAATTCCGATGGCTTCCCCTTTTCATCTCAAGTCCTCGTCATCATTGCTCTCTGCTCTCCTTTAAAAAGATAACATACAAGCGGAGATTTTCAGAAACCGCAAACGAGATATGTGATTGCGGACTTACACCGTCGATATTTCGCAGGAAGAAAAAGGGTAAGAAAACGATGATGCGTTGATATGTTGCGCCGTCTTGGGTGTCTTGCCCGACACACGCAAAAAGGTAAATATGAGGGAAGACACAAAATCCGTAACACGTGGTCAGAAATATGCTAAGCATGGCAGTTTAGGCCCCGGTCGGAAAAGCGAGTGGAATGCGGGAAGCGGAGACAAACAACGAACGGGAGGCATCGATGATGCGGTATTGGCGCTTCCGTGCCCTGGTGGCCCAGTAGCGTGGCGTGAATTGCGATACATCGATTGTTATGCCATTTAAACCTATGAAAAAAGATCGATTATCAGGGTGTTCGCAGCGAGCACCTCAGTAATCGATTCTTTACCATAGCTTCAAATGGCGAGATATCGATAATCGATTATTCACGCCACGCCACTGTGGTGGCCCCGGTGGCCCGTGCCCGTCCCGTGTTGATGCTGGCGCTTGATTGTTATGGCTGTCGACGCGTTGCCCGTTGCGTCGTGCGCTGCCGTCCTAAGGCAGAACGGCGTACCAACATTCAAGAGTTGCCAAATTTTTTTGATAAAACATGTATTTTTGACGACATTCATGCATAATTTTCCTTGAAATTTTTAAATATTTTAGGTTAAATTGCGTACGAAATTGTCTGAAAATTTTTGAAAATAATATTCACAATTTTTCCGACTAATTCGATCTTTATCGGAGGAAACTTGGCAACGTCTGAAGGCTCATACGGGGTTCTTCTTTAGCGGGGCAGTGCGGTGGGGTGCCTCGCAGCGGGGCACGCGGCCCCCGTCGCGATTCCTCGCCGCCGTACACACGGACCCAGATAAGAATCGCCCGCCCGCCGCAAGTTTATAGCCACTGGCTGAGGAGTCTCCTTCCCGCCCGGCGCCCTCTTCCCCTCCCCCTCCCCTCGATGTCCTCGCGACCAAAAAAAAATTCGAGTCGTAATATTGCAACTTCATGGAAAAAATAAGTAATCCTGCCTCATTTTTGCGCCAAGGGCCGTTCACGAATGACGTCAAGCGATTTTTCCTATTCTTGACCCTCCTATGTTCTCCTTCTCGCTTAACCCTCTACCCCTCCTTATCCTTTCTCCTCCTACCATCCCTTAAAGTTATTCGTCAAGCAGACTTGGAAACCACCATTCACTTGAATGCCTGGCCTAAAGGGCCTCATTCGTGGAGGGCCTCTCTATCACCGCGCTCCGGAACAGCGCTTACGGGTCCTAGGTGCTGGTTATTAGAGGCTTCGGACCCTAAAATGTAATGGCCCCAACAGTTCCAGGCTTAAGTCCATTCGAAATATGTCTTTTAGACTCCAAGGACCATTAAAGGATCTGCAAGTTTGAAGGGGGAAAAAACCCCAGGGGATCCCACGGTGCTACAGACCCCGCGCGCCCTGCTCTCAAGGTAGGTCTGAATCCATACAAGTTTTCCGGTAAAGCTAACTTGCAAATCACTGAAATTTACCATCAATATGGTTCATTTGGCATATGCCTTTGTTAGTGACAAACTCTATGGGTATCTTGGCAATGGTGGAAATGTTTAATGTCGAGACCTATCACCTAACATTAAACTAATCCAATAGGTGCAGGTGCATGTCGAACATTGTGTCGTTTTGCAAACAAACCGAAGTTTTGCTTGGTTTGTAAACATACTTGGCTCATTGCGTCATCCCAGGCTCATCATCCTCCTAAGCGGCGAGTCCCATATGCACAAATGCAAAAAAATTGCGGCACAAAAGCGCAAAAAAGACGTTTGCGCTTTTGGGTTTCTCTCATTGGTGCATATGAAACCCCAAAATTTGCGCAAACTTACCCATTCACGGAGGTTAGGAGTCACTGAGGGAAATTACCCATTTACTTGGCAAACTATTTGCGCTTTTAGGTGCGTTTTTATTTTGCGCTTATGGGTTTTGCGCATGGGTTGTGGCCTTCCTAAGATAGGTTAACAGCCGAAAAAAGGGTGATGACCGTCGCTGCATTATGATCATCAATAAGGAAGTGTTGAATCCCCGAAATTATAAGTTCCCAACAGCCGCCAAGAGGCTAGTGCACCGTCTCGGTTTGTCTTCGAGAAAATATTCGCCTGTTTCGATTTCCGAAGCCGAATAAAATTTCCCGAGCTGAAAAGCCGCGGAGATTTCCCGGTGCAGCGGCTCCAGGCATGGCGTCACATCGCGGCAGGGCGGGAGGGGGAGGAGGGCGTCAGCTATGCGGGTAATGTACGGTGTGGAGAGCGTAAATTATACGAAATAAATTGTCCGTCTTGGAGCGAGCGTCTGCGTCTCTTAATCTGGATTGCCGCTCCGCTGGAAATTCTCCCGATTCCCGCTTGACTTATATATACATATCATATATATAAAACCCCTGGATTTACAGTACGCCGCACAGCTACAGGAATTCATGAGCTCTGTAACTCCTAAGGCGGCGGAGCGCGGACGGCTCGAAACCCTTTTGGCGCTTGGGTCGTTATTCGATTCGAGCCCCGAATTGCTCGGGATTGGGAGTCGGATTGGCAACGTTGCCGGACGGAGACGAACGACATTTCAGCGACGACGCGAGGAAGAAGAAGCCTGGATTTACGACGCATTTACTCCGAGCGCCGAGGCCGAGCGGGAAAAGGAGCGAGAAAAAGAGACGGGAAAAAGCGGCCGTAATTAAATGGGCGCGCGCTCGTGCATGTGTGTGCGTGTGCGCGAGTATGCGCAGAAAACCATTGCTCCGAACTGTAAATGCCGGCCGGCCTATGTGTGGGTGTGTGAGTCTGTGCGCCGTTTGCGCGCTGGCCTAAGTCCGGGACTCTGAGTCGTCGCGATTCCCAAAATGTATTTAGTTATCCCCCCCCCCCCCCNAATTTCATACGCAAAATGCAAAACTTGAACACCTCAAGTGCAGCGATTGAAAATCTCCGGTTATCATCATTACTGTCACTCACTATCATCGTCAATATCATCTATCTGTATAATTCTGCAATCCCGATCCTTCGAGGCAAAGGCGGAGACCCTCGATGGCGGAAAAATAGAGGGATCCCACGGCGGTCCTCGGGCCTTTTGTGCCCTTTTTGGGTCTATGAAAGGGAACACTCGATGCAGTTAACTTTTTAATGACTCCTAAAAGTCAATGATAAGTGAACAAAAAAAAACAAGCAGTGAACTCCAACACAATGTGTTGATAAGGCGCGTCATTAACTCGCACATATCAACCCCTTTAGTTTTCATTTACAGAGATTTCAAAATAGGCAAACAGCATAAAAAGAGAATTCACGATCCAACACTGCGAGGTCAAAGACGCACCTTGACGAGACCGTGTATTGTGAAAGTAGAAAGCTATTCGATCGAATTTAAGTTTTTTGATCTGCCTCAAGCAAAATCTTATCAGATTCTTGAAGAAAAGTGCTACGGAATAATTTAAGCGAAGAAAGGAAAAATTCTGTCGAACTCCTAGAAGATAAAGTCGATTTAAAGGTATTTTGGGGCTAAAATACCCAAATCACCGGTAGTAAAAATCCCGTTATATTATTGAAAAGAAATTGACTCGATATAAATGCAATTGCATTAAATACGTCTTGATTTTGTTATTTTAAACGTCTTTCCATGCAAAGAAGTTCAACCATGTCGTTGCTTTATTCATTCATGAATTGAAAGTAAGCAATCTACATCCCGAAAATCTACTGATTTGCCGTAAAAAATTGCAGAAACTTGATATACCAGGTCGATGCACCCACTCGTTGAATTTACCAACCAATTTTGTGAGTGCAAATGTGTAAGAATCAATATGCTATAGTCATTTTGGGTGCATTTATTTTTCATGAAACAATAATAATTTCAATCCCGAAAAACCATCAATTTTCCGTATAAAATCGAAAAAATCAAAATATGTCAACTCCCCGACGTGAAAATTAGATTCTACGTATGTAAAATGTAAATACTTATGTATCGATATGCTGAACAGAACTATGTGTGGACAGTCAGAAGCCCGCGGCAACATTAATTCAACAGAAAAACTGTAAAAATTAGATAGGATTTTAGCCGCTTTGCCCGCCTCTCCTCGCTACTTACAACAAACCGTTCTTATACTCATCTCAAAATTTTTCTCAGAGCTTTGGGTTATTATCAGCTTCCATTTAAACTCCGGTTCGATGGCCGAATCGGCTGCCAAAAAAGCAAGCCACTGTTGAGGGGTTCTATGAGAAATTCGTGATATTATCGGCTCTCAGGAAATCACCCCATGGCTAAAATTGGTGGTATAAATGTTTAAGTGCTTAAAATAATCGTATTCAAGAAACTAAGGA